TCTGGGAACATCCTGAGCACATGAAGGAACCACTTGCTGGTGTTTGACACGTGAGTCAAAGCCCATATTTGACTCCAGCCCCAAGGAAGAGGAGCAGCGGCAAACACCTGTCTCATTTCTGGTCCATAGAATCTATGTACCTAAGAAGTTAGCTGTAGGACACTCACTTCTGATTATGCAGCATGTCGGAACGGATTCTGACATGAGGATACATAGAATTTGCATTTGCTCAGAGTAAAGGGAGAGCCCTAAACAGTTTTAGGCTAGAGATATAAATGTGTGAATTACCAGTGGAAGGCTGATCCCAGAGAGTGCCTGAGTGCATTAAGGCAGAGGGCAGAGGCTTTTGGATGTCCGAATTGTTAGTGGAAGGTATTAGAAAGCCCTCAAGCTAATTCTGCAGGGGTCTTGTGTTGACCTTTGTTTTGGTGCATGGTGTAGCAAGGGCACTGTAGAAATGCCAAAGCGCAAGGATGGAGTGTCTACTCTGGCAGCCTGGAACCCACTCCCTGGGTACAGGTAGCTGTGGAGTCAGGAAGCCCAATGACACAAGTGCTGTGGGCATGGGAAGCTTCTCTGATGTTAGTGACACTGGGGAGTTGGGTCTGTGATACAGATTTGTTTCTATCAAACAGGATAGGCTTATCTTTGATGGTACCTTAAATGATTTAATCCTGGGCAAGAGCAAAGAGTTCCAACGCCCTGGGTTGTGTTGCCCGCCTTTCAATCCTCGGGCCCCATTGTTCCTCCCCCTTATCCTTCTCTCCTAAAAACTGCAGGCAGACCCTGTTATATCTTTCCTTAGGATGGATGGACACTGAAGGTTCCAAAGTCATCTTTCATCAGGTTCGAATGCTGGAAGAAGCCTGGCCTTGCATGTCTTCCCATGCCCAAAACACTGAAAACAGTAAAATAAACTCCACTGATGGGAGTGTCCTGGTGCTCAGAGTCCTTCCCTTTTGCCTTTCTTCCTGGCAGAAAAAGTCTGTGCTTGCCCTAAATATGCACGTACATGTTTGAGCAGGAGCGTCTAAGAGATGAACGTTCTTGTAGCCAGGGGACTTCAGAACAGGAGTTCTCAGAACATGGGTCACACTTGAATCACAGGATTGGGATCTTTTCAGAAATCAGATTTTCAAGCCCACTCCGACCTACAGAGAACTGTGTGTGGATGGGATCCAGCAATTTGTGTTTTATCACAACCACTGGAAGGGTCTGACAACCCCTGCTTCAAAGGGTGCGCAGAGAACCTCACGCTGCGACCTCACTGTGTTTTCAGGAGTGGTCCTAGCAGGCTAAAAGCTGCAGGGATGAGCGCTGGGCCGTATTACATCATTGTTTAAAACTGACAAGTGCAGTGGCGGTGTGGACAAACCTTGACTTCAGGAGGCTGCTCTGGCTTCCTTTGTGGCTGTGACTAGCAGACAGTAGGAGGGAGAGTGATGTGGACCCCGTTTCCAGGGTTACCTTCTTGCTACTGATAACAGGCAGGAAATTAAAACAATCTGCGATAAAGCTTTGTTCTTATTACCCACAGATGGCAGCTTTCAGATATGTGGGAGCAAACATAAGTAAATATAGCTGGGAAGCTTCATTATTGAAGAAAAATGACTGGGTGCGGTGAAGTTTGTAGTCTGGGCTCGCTTTAATGAAATGGGATATAGGCAAGGCAACACGCTAGTGTCTCAGTTCTACACAAAACCTTAAGCCGTATGAGGATACTTAGGTTTCTTTTTGGTTTGACTCTGAGTATATAAACATTTATATGAACTCAAAGTCGAAACTACATGACATGGGCTGGAGAGATGGCTCAGTGGTTAAGAGCATTTGCTGCTCTTCAGAGGACCCAAGTTCAGTTCCCAGCATTTCTAACTGTAGCCCCAGGGATCCAATACCCTCCTGTGGACTCCACAGGCACCTGCATTCACATGTGCACATACTCTGCCCCATACACATAATTAATTTTTTAAAAAATTCTTTTAAAAATACGACAAATTAATTTTAAAGTAGCTGCTTCCCTTTTTGCTTTTTTTGTAACCCTTTATAAGTAATTGTTTTATTAGTTTTGTGATTTAGGCGTCTACTGTTCGTTTTGGGGAACAAACATATTTATATGTTACACATTGAAAAAATGAAGTGAACTTTATTAAGGAACAACAAAAATCTCAGAACTCTGCAAGGTGTGAGTTGAGATGAACACACACACATGCATACTCATGCACACACGCACACACCCGCATACACATGTGCACACACAGCATACACACACACACACACGCACGCACGCACGCATGCACACATGCACGCACACATGCTGCCACTAGGACAATGACGATATTGACCTTTTCAACCACTCTAAGAAGTTTCTTCCTGTCAAATCCTTTCCCACTTCCGCGGCCCCGGAAGCCACCTATCTTCTCCCTACTACTATACTTTCTCCTTCCCCAGAATTTCATCCCTAGGACCATCACGTGCCCCTAAGCAGTTTCTTGAAACTGCACAATGGAACTGGCCAGTTCATGGCGAGGAGACACTGTCTTCCCAGGCCACCACTGCCTGTGGCCTGTCCTCAGCGGAGTGCTGCTGTGCAGTGCACAGGGGCAACCTTTCGTGTTCCCAGTGACTGACGCCACCCAGAGACTTGGCAGATGGCTGTTACCAGGTCATTGTGTTTTCACCGAGTCAGACACCATTGTTTTTGCGTTGCAGTTGTCGGATAGTTTTTTAAACTTTGAAGTTAATTTTAAGACTTCAGACAAAATTACAAAAACGGTACAGACAGTTTTATATACAATTTCACCAGCTTCTAAAAAAACCTTACCTGTTCACGGTCCGGTTACTAACACTGAAGAAGTCAATATTGGCATAACGACAAACTTTAGGTTCTGACTTTGTTTTTTTTTTTTTTCTGACTTTGGTTTTAATTGCACTTAGCTACTATATTTCACTAATCTCCTCAACTCTGAAATTTCACTGCTTTTTTATGTTTTTGTAATGGCCTTAATGATTGATTCAAAAGAATACCCATTGAGCTGTGCCTGGTGGTCTAACCTTATCATCCCAGCTACTTGGGAAGCTGAGCTGGGAGGACTAGGAGTTCAAGACTAGCCTAGGCAACTTAGTGAGACTTGTCTCTAGAAAACAGGAAGACGAAAATGCGACTTAAAGTGATCTTATAGTAGTGTGTGCCTCACTACCCAGGTGGCAGCCAGAGTCAGCGTATGGCCGTAGTGTAGCATGTGCCTCAGGGTTAGCGCTACCAGGTGGCAGTCAGTGTCAGCGTATGGCCATAGTGTAGCGTGTGCCTCAGAGTTAGTGCTACCCAGATGGCAGCCATTGTCAGCGTATGGCCATAGTGTAGTGTATACCTCAGCATTAACGCTACCCAGGTGGCAGCCAGTGGCAGCCAGCGTCAGCGTATGGCCGAGTTGCCTCGTCCGCCAGGTTTCCCCCATTGTGTGCCTTGCCTGAGGTCCAACAGTCAGCTGGTGACAGAACCAGATTCCGACTTAACCTCACGTGAGGCCAACTTTTATGTGTGCTGTGTGGTTGTGAGAACTTTGACAATTTCCTTTGCCAGAGAGAACAGATGCCTGACATCCCATGATCCTCTCTTGTTCATTTAGAAACACTGTTTTGTGTTCACACTCAATCATATTTCTCATGTGACTAAAGATCTTAGTGAACTGTACATGGCCTTATCATGATATTAAACTCTTGGAGACATTCAGAGTACTTCCAGGAATACCAAGGAGCTATATTTAAACTGTTTTCAGAAATACAGCCAAAGGTTAGGGCAGAGTGTTCTGCATAGGAGACGGCTGCTGGAGAAGGAATATTTACTTAGACAGTGACTGAGGGTTTTCTCTGCCCCGCTCTTGCCCCTTTTGTTCTGTGTGTTTAAACCCTACACATGTCCATCCTTGGTGGCCGCAGTAGTGACTCTTTGGCCACCCAGTCCCAGGCGACTCCACGTAACCTGACTTGTATGGGGACAGAGGCTCAAGCGTGACTCAGTAGCAGAGCCATGAAGGTCAGGCAGTGGGGGTGGGCATTTGCACATCTCTGACTCAGAGCCTGCCTTTCGGGGGGGCGGGAATAGCTGTGGGCGGCTGCAAAGCCATGCTCACCTCCCCAGACTCTGTGGACTGGGCACCCCCCGATCCTTTCAGTTAACACTTGCTGTCTGTGTTATCTGGTCTGCCAAGCTGAGATCGGGGTTTTCCTATCTGTGGATTTGTTTTATAAAAGTGAGAAAGCATCCGCTGTGTAACATCTCTTCTTATTTGACAAGGACACATGATGTTCAGTATTGGGGCATCCGCCAGTTTGTCAGTACCATGGCTGTATCACAGTGGTGGCAGCTGTGGCTGCTGTTCCTCTGTCTTTCCGGAGGCAGAACGGGGCGCTCCTGCTGGCCCAGGCTGAGTTCAGTGCTCTGTTGGCCACCCTCTAGTTATCTTCTCCTTTGCAGATGTGGAAGGGACTCTTAACTAAGTGCAGCTTTTAACACACAGCATTGTTTGAAATGTCTCTTGTATGCCTGACCATGTATCTGAGGTTCACAGCTTTCCTATGAACATTGCTCCCTCGAGAGGGATACACATGCAGATTATGAGATTTATTTCTTTAGGAAGGCAACCATGTAGTGTTAGTCCAATGCTTCCCCAAATAACTTTGTGAAGTGTAAAAAACTATTTGGATCGAATAGAGGCCAAGGTTACAGGCATATAGATCTTGACTCAGAGGTCAGAGGGCTAAGGCCTCTGTTTTTCTCTTCGACAGCTCTGTACACATGTGTTAGAGAGTGTAAGGGTGGGAAGAACAGCCAGTGTTCGTCATACGTGCTTCCTCCATGTCTCATGAAGGAAAAGAATCCTCACTCAGAAGGGGAACTTGGCAGTTTTCATTTTTATGTCTTAGTGGGTGTTTAAAAATATTTACTGTCTTTTTGTATTTAACCAAACTGGCTTTTCTATTTCGTGTTTTTCCAATCTCAGATGTCCTGAATGACGCCATATTTGATGAGGACCATGATGAGATGGTGATCGTGAAGGACATAGATATGTTTTCCATGTGTGAGCATCACCTCGTTCCATTTGTGGGAAGGGTAAGGTTCTTCTTGTTGCCTAATAATTTAAGAATGTATAATGAAAGTTTTAAATTAGGATAATTATATTTAAAATTGTCTACTGATTCTTAATATTCTCTGTTTACAGTTTATATAATTTTTTTCCCTATCAATTTTGGGTAACCTAATAATTGGAAATTTAAGCTGGGCAGTGGGTGCACACCTTTAATCCCAGCACTCAGGAGGCAGAGGCAGGCAGATCTCTGTGAGTTCCATTGCAGCTAGAGCTACACAGAGAAACCCTATCTTGAAATATTATTTTTTTAAAAAAGGAAATTTAAAAATAAGAACCAATGTAGAGAGAAGGTCAGCTGGTGCTCCTCCACCATTGCTTTGGTCTATCAGGTTTTCACCCAGTATCTGACTCCTGAGGCTTTATTGGTAATAAGCGTGTCCATATTCACCTTACTCTCTGCTGACCTTTGACTCTGCAAAGTGGTTGTAACAATTAGCTCTCCCAGGCGCATGTGGGAGTTATCAATATTTAATATTCTAGCACCACTTGGCACTTTCCTCTGATGTTTAGTATTCAGTACACTCAATATTTATCTATCATCTATCTGTACACTCTGTGTCTGTCTGTCTGTTTGTCTGTCTGTCTCTGAACACTTTTATAAAGGAAAGAGTGTACATATCTAATAGCAGAAAGACTAGTGTTAATGGCGTTCCATGTTCCCATCAGCCAGCACCAGCAGTTATCCATATGGACCAATCATAGTCTATGGAGCCACTTACTGCTACTACAGTAAGTCCAATCCCAGATTTTATTTATTCTGTAATATCTTCTAGCATGTTTCTGTAAAAGATAAGAATTAAATAAACAACTTGGTAAGTTGTCCAACCTTCTGGGTTTGCTCCTGGAACCTCTGGATTGCCTATAAACTAGACTAGATTTGTAGTATTAGCCTGAACATTTCTGACCCAAGTAGTTCACAGAGTGCTGAAGACTTCACATTCTGTCACACCAGGAGACTATCCACAGGTAATGTTGAGGGAACCTTTTTGCTCATCCCTGCCTTTTACTGGGGGTGAGAAAGCTTGTCTCTAAGATGGTGGGAAGGAACTGTGCCCTGACTGGGCTGGACTCGGGGTTCTTGATTCTGTTCTCAGCTCTTCCTTGCTGCCTTCTGTGGTGATCCCCGCGTTTGTGCCACTTTGCTTTTGTTCAGAAAGACAGTTCTCAAACTCTTACAGCATAGTGCTAAGTACTACTACATGGACTCTGTAAATGTATGATCAGTATTAAGTAAGCATGTGAAAGCTAGTTCATGCTGGCATTCAGGATGCAGTTGTATTGGAAGTTTAAATTTGGTTAACTGCCAACAAATGGCCCCTTACTTTATTAGTCCTTTTAAAGGTATGTTTTCTCATACTTCAATTCTTGGCTCAGAAAGTGATAACATTTACACCCTAGATATCCATCCACTGATACATTTTAAGATGCTAATGCTCCAGCACTTGGGAGGCAGAGGTAGGTGAATCTCCTGTTCGAGGTCAGTGTGTTCTACAGTTTGAGTTCCAGGACAGCCAGGGCTAAACAGAGAAACCCCATCTTGGAAAAACAAGACTAGAGAACCTGGGTCATAAATTCATGTTCTTTAAGAGCCATCATGTGGAGCCGGTGTCCTCTTTCTTCTGCCGGGATGCTGGAGCTCCCCAGCACCTTAGAGAGTAAAAGGGCACGGAGACAACTGTGTAGCAGGGCTCAGAGTGGGATTCTTAAAGCTATGTGACGCACGTGATAGTGACATTTATATATAGTTTCTGCCATTTAAAGGAGTTCTCTGCTGATAATACCGTCATGTTATGGGGTCATTTCCCCCCTTTGTCAAGTGTCCTTTTTCTAGATAGAGGACAGAGTTTCGTATGTGAATCAAGAACCTAACTTTACCGAGGAGCTCTCCAGCTTGACTTTTGTCATTTCGACAAGTCTGTCCTTATATAGTTTCCTCTTCCTGTCTTCATGCAATTTGAAAATATGTATGAATCTGCTTCACAAGTTTTAAAGATGCTTTGTCATGGTGATAAACTTACATGTAGGTGTGTTATGGTCTTTCTATATTCAGTTGTGTTGTTACAAAGAAGTGCTGGTCCTCATTTAACTGATAATTTTCTTTCCCTGAAGGTGCACATCGGTTATCTTCCTAACAAGCAGGTCCTTGGCCTCAGCAAACTTGCCAGGTAAGAGTGAACTTTATAGATATTTTCTATCTGCTGAGACCCTCAAGATTCCTTACCTCTGTGGATCTAATGTATAAGTTATATTGTAATGTAAAAATCTGTCCTTGCATGGGCAGCCATGCTTTCAAGATTAGAAACACTATATCTCTTCCTGCTTCCCCTTCACTGCCTGTTCCTCTCTCCCCAGCCTGTCACTGACATGAGCTCACAACTTTCTCTGTAGAGTTTCCCCTAACTGAAAAAGATCCAAGATTGCCCCCCAGTTCAGCCCTGGGTCTTAAGGGGAGGTTAGTTAACAGTGAGGGGAAGAAGCATATGCATGGGTCTAACTGCTTTATATTTTGGGAGGCAGGGAATTGAAGAGCATCTGCATGTATGGAGAACAGTGTCAAGGGCATTGTAGGAAATACTTCTATGTTTATATAAGTCTTGTATGCAAAAAACAGATCCAGAAGATTGGATTTGGTTTCATACTCACAGTAAGGCGAAGTCTCATGAAGACATGTCACCGCCTCCTACACTGGTTCCCAGTGAATACAAGTAGAGGCTGATTGTCTCATTGTTCAAGGTTTTCTGCCAGGGTGTATTCTTTTATGCTTATGAATTGAACACAAGCAACTAGAGACTGCATACTTCATGTTAGTGAGTTTTCTTCATTCTCTTGAGTGCTGGAAGAGGCTTGTGGTTACACAGTCTTCATATGCTCTTTACTGGGGTTTCTTTCCATTGTGAATCCTTCATGTTATCAAACGTTGCTGACACAGATACGTTTTCTTTCTAGTGTGAGTGTATTCAGGTTTGCAAGGGTACAAAAAGAAAAAAAAGTGAAGATTTTTCCACATTCCTGTACCACATGGTATCTCTCTAGTGAATACTTACTTAGGTATTTGAAAGTTACTCATAAAACACGTTCATAGGATTTCTGTCCACTGCGAACCCTTTTGTGTGAAAGGATTTCCTGTTTGCCTACACATAAGGTGTCTCTGCAGTGTGAGTTCTGTTGTGCCATAGAAAGAGTTCTAACCAGTGGAGGTTTTCCCACGCTCCTTAGATACACGATATTCTGTCTGGTGTGAATCACTCCATGATCCAGAAAGCACTGAGGATAACTGAGGGTTTCCTGCCCTCCTTGCATTGACATCTTCGTCTCTGCTCCTGATATTCACAAAATTGAATCCCAGTGGGCATGCTTAGGGATGGGTAGCCAAGTGGGACATCTGCACTCCCATGTTCCTGCGTGGTTTTACACGAGGATGGGTTTTCTTATTCACGGTGTGGTCCGGAAGTGAGGTAAAGTTTTCTCGGCATGGACCACCGTTTTTGTGTTCTGTTTTCTTCCTGCCGCTCCACTTCACAGCTTTCTTCTAGAGTTTTTATAGTATTTTCAGTGTCTGGCCTTTCTGTTATTTTCTATTTCCAAGTTTTTAGAGTGTTGTGGTATCTTAACCAGGACTCTTGACGGTCTCACAGTAATGCAAGCAAAGCCACTTGGGGGCTCTGTTAGCCTGTGAAATATGTGTTTCAAAATTGTGACAGACCAGCATATGGGGCTCTGGTCTCCTCTTGCTTTTCTTTCTGCCTGTGGTTTGTGTGTTTCTGAGCCCTTCAGGCTAGTGCGTTCACTTCTAGGTCATTTGCCCCTGCAGACACAGGACACACCACCCACTATTTTGCTTACTCTTACCTTTTTTACTTACATGTTCACAAATTCAAAAAAAATAATTTTTGAGCTGAACATGGTGGCACACACCTTTAATTACATCACTTAGGAAGCAGAGGCAGGCAGATTTTTGTGAGTTCAAGGCCAGCCTAGTTTGCATAGTGAGTTTTAGGACAGTCAGGCTCTGTAGAGAGACCCTGTCTCAAAAAATGAAACAAAATAATATCAAAAAAATGTGCTCCCACTTTTATTTGGGATTTGAGGAGAAGAGGTGATGTGTATATATTGCAGTTTGTGTTTAACTGGGAGTCAGTGTGAGGGTTTGTGTTCATATATCTCTGCTATGCCCTACCCATCAATGTTTTATTGCCCCTAAATGTCCTCTTGTGTTTTAATTTGGTTTTATGGAGACAGTGAATCCTGATTATCTGGGGAAATACAGAGAGGTGGAGGTACGTGCGTGTGCGTGTGCATGTGTGTGTGTGTGTGTGTGTGTGTGTGTGTGTGAAGAACCAAATGAAGGGGTAAGTAATGAATGTGAAGTCATTGAATTTAAAGCTATGTTTGAATCACTTGATCGAGGTTACAGTGACCTCAGTCACGACTGGAATGAATGTGACTGGCTGTTCCATGGCTTTGGTGTATAACCCATCAAAGTGAGGTTTGCCTAGTCCTGAAGTGGTAGCCCTCATATTTTTCATTTCCTTTTTGGTATCTACATAAGCCTGTGGTGGTTTGAATGAGAATGCTTCTCCTAGGCTCATGTGTTTGAACACTTGGTCCCCAGTGGTTGGCATGGTTTGGGGATCTATGATGTCTGGCCTTGCTGAAGGAAGTAAGTTAATGGGGGTAGGCTTTGAGGTTTCAAAAGTCTCATACCATTTCCAGTTTGTTCTCTGGGCCTTATGCTTTTGGTTTAAGATGTGCGCTCTCAGACTGCTGTTCCAGTTTCTGTGCCTGCCTGCTGCCGTACCTCCCCACCAATATGGCGATGGACTCTTATCCCTCTGGATCCACAGCCCAGATAAGCCCTTCCTTTTATAAGTTGTCCTGGTCATGGTGTTTTATCACAGCAACAGAAGGCAGAGCAGTTGTCCCCCAGTTACTTACTCCCAAATAATAGTGAAAACAAATTTATGCTGACTATAAATATTAGTACTACCAGTGTGCTCCTTGTACACCGTCATAGGCCAGTGTTCTGTGAATAATAGTACTGTCAGCATGCTCCTTGTACACAGTCATAGGCCAGTGTTTTGTGAATAATAGTACTTATCAACATGCTCCTTGTACACAGTCATAGGCCAGTGTTTTGTGAATAATAGTACTTATCAACATGCTCCTTGTACACAGTCATAGGCCAGTGTTCTGTGAATAATAGTACTGTCAGCATGCTCCTTGTACACAGTTACAAGTTGCAGTGTTCTGTTGTTTCCTTTTCCATAAAGAAATGTTAGCTCTATGTATGCATGAGGAAGTGAATCCACAAGAGCCTGAAATATCAATATATTTATTGGAGAACACTCATAAGCAACAAGGTCGAGAGCTGCCGTGGTCCTCTGCTCTGTGGGTGCTGGAAGGTGCAATCAGATCTCTGACCACCACCCAAGAGAGAGAGCAAGCCCCTCCTCTCTTTAAAGCGATCACACACACACACACACACACACACACACACACACACACACACGACCACACCCCTAAGTCCAGTACCCTCAAAGCTATTGGCTGAATGACTTCCCACACACTTTCCCTTTTGTCTGAATAAAAGGGTTTTAAATCTAGTACGAAACTATATACAGTAAGGACAAATATCAACCAGGAGATAGAAAAGGTAATAACATCTATAAAATAGAACTACAACCTTCAAGCATGAAACACACATACTAAATGTCCTGGATGTAGGTAAATAGGCAACTAACAGAGAGTAATCCAATAGCTGTCCTATCCTAAGAAGTCAAAGTCTTTTACCTAAAATGTCTTAGTTATGAGATGATATTAGCCATGACTGTCTAGTCACCAACCCCATCAAAGACTTGAGAAGAAAAATATTACCTTAGTAAGCAGAAAGTGCAAGCAAGTGGCTTCCAAACCATGTAAGAAATGACAGAAACATCTGGTTACCTGGACAGTCACCCAAAATCTCATTTGCAGTGTTGGGACAACTAACTTTGACTGAGGCCTAGAATATCTGACATGCCATTTTTAGAAGCAGGAAAATTTGAAAGACTGTCCTACCCTGTTTTGGCAAGGTTCAGCAGTTGCTTTTGTTTGTATCTTGCGTGTCCAATTTTGGACAGCATGCGTACCATCAGCAGTTAAGGCAAGGGCCGTTCTTTGCCCAAAGGCCAGTTATGCCAAGAAGAAAACAAGCTCTAAGTGGAGCATCTTCAGTGCCCAACATTCTCTCGGGAATAGATTGCTGCTGCCAGGAGCAACCGTGCCTCAGGTCAACAGAATCCTGAGTTATTTAAATGCCATATTCTTCAGGTCTTTGGAGTGTTTGAAGATTACCTATCCATGCAGAGTACAATCTCTGTGCATCTAGAGAGCCTGACTAACATGACTAATAGTATAACAAACATGGGTGACTCTTAACCTGTCATTCTTAAATAACCTGTATAACTAAAAGCTTCATATAAGAACATAAGCAATCTTTAAGTAGATATGCAACTTGAGGACAATGACCTTTAAATTGAATCAGTATAAAATATCTTGATCAGAGGTAGAAATGTATAGTGCCGTGTGATTAAAAAAAGAATCCTAAAATTGCATCAATCTACAAAATATCTGAAGCAGAGGCAGAAACATATATACATACAGTATGAGAAAATAAATTTACATATGTATACAAATATTGTAAGCAGAAATAGGAGCATATACAATATGACAAATATATTTTGAATTTGTATCAATATACAAATTATCTTAGACAGGGATACAAAGATAATTTTACATATATATCAATATACAAGAATCTATACCAATGTAAATTTTCTATAACTAATAGTAGGTACGCTGATCTACCTATTATCTCATCCTGTCCATTCCCTCTTTTTTCTTTTCCAAAAGAGATTCCTGAGCCTAAACGTCATATTTCACCCCCACATTGGACTCCAGGTATATGCGTGAAGAAGTGAATCCACAGAGCCTGAAATAAACAGGGGGTATCAATATTAATTGGTGAACACTCATGAACAGTAAGGTAGTCAGTTGCCACGGTCCTCTGCTCTGTGGGTGCTCGGAGCTGTGATCAGATCTCTGACCACCACCCAAGAGAGTGGGGGAGCCCCTCCTTTCTCTTAAAAGCGATCAGTCCACAGACAGAAGACCATGCCCTTAAGTCCAGTACCCTCAAAAGCTGTTGGCTAAATGAATTCCCACAACAGCTGTATGCTTTTATTCTGGAAACTCTGGCACTGTTGAGACTGTAACAGACTGTCTGTACGGGGAAGATGGAGTTGGGGGATGGCTTCCATACTTAAAAGGAGTTTCACAGGGCACTGTAAGCTTAGGTGTGATCCTTTTATTTCCCCCTCTTTGGTGCTGAGGATCAAGCCCACGCCTTCATTCAGTCTAGGCAAGTGAGTGGCTCTGCCTCTGAGTCATACCTCCAAGACCCCGGAAGACCTAGGACATCCTCTGCTGGTCTTGACTGACAGTGTGAGCAGTGGCTTCTCGGGTGATCCGGTGGGGTCATGGAATAAATGGTGACTCAGAGGCACAGGAGGACAGTCTTAATTCTGCCCTTTCCTGGGGAAAAGACCTTAACTGGTTAAATCTTCTGTGGAGCAATATAAAGAAGCTGATTGCTTGCTTGAGGATTTGCCATTTTGCTAATAGGATTAAAATTTAGGAATAAAAGGGGGCACCAAACCAAGGCATTGAGTATGTGTTACCTTCACACTTTATAAAAAACTGGAAGAGAAGGGCATGTTAAACAGAAAAGTCAACTGAGGTTTTTATCCAACTGTCTATTTCTTAGGAAGTAAGAATGCTTAGAGAATAAGGAATAATAACGAAAGCTACATCTTAGCAAAACCTTACTATTCATTTTAATCTTGTGGTCAAGTTTGTTGTGTGCTCACTTTTAAATGCATGACCTTTCCATTCCTGTAAAGTCAAATATCAGGCAGGGAAGCTGTTAAGTAACAGGAGGACACCAGAAGTGAGCTGGTTTGATTCTAGGGGAAGTCTAGAGTAAACTCACATCAAATAGAAATTCTCTTTGTTGCTAAAAATCTGATTGTTTTCTTGCCTTAGAACAATTGAATTAATATAATTAAATCTTGAATTTGGAACTGTAGTTCCTGGGATAGCCTTGGCCAACCTGTGTATTGATTTCCCTGGTGTGGAAGGACTCTCTAGGCCAGCTACTGCCATGGCCAGCTACCTTCATGCAGTCCATTGAAAGCTAGGGAAACTGCACATGACTACAGAGGAAGTCAGATTAATGCTACGGGAAAGAAGGGGTCAGAGCTGGCCAGTTTTGTGAACAGCCCTTCCTTGGTACTGGCATCTCCAAAATGCTCGGGTCTCTGTTGAGGCAGGGCTGTACCTTCACTGATAACCTCCTGGGTTCTTTTCAGGGACTCTGACCCTGCCACAGGGTGCCAAGTCTCAACTTCTCTCCATGACCCTTTCAATCCCAGTCCTGGGGCATCTGCTGCCTCTGAGGCTGCTCCTTCACTAATGGCCTCTCCTGGCCACTCGTGACCCCTTCATGTCTTCAAAACCAGTAGCACATAGCTAAATTTGACTACCAGCATGAGATACAGTCTCGGGTGGCTCTGGATAATAGCTTCTGTGTGCTGACCCTCAGGAAACACTCTCAGGGCATTTCCCCTCAGTGATGCTGGTCTCTTCTAAATCACAGCTGATTCTTCAGCCCTGGCCGGACCCCGGCAAAGCAAAGATTTCATTTCAGCAGTGCTAGACTCTTGTTAATAATCAACTCCAGCTTGCTAGATGCTATGGATTCTTAATTCGAAATATCACACAAATGGCCCTGATGACTCTGACTCACTCTGAAACCTCACAAACCTGGCTTCCGTTGTCTGCATCGTTCTCAGCATTGTCTTCATTGTCTTCGCGGTTCCCACGCCAGCTCGCAAAGACTTTTCCAGGCCAAAGTTCCCAAGTCCTTTCCAATCCTCCTACAACAGCATGGAGGATTGTCTGTCGCAGCAATAATCCACTCTCTGCTACCAGTGTTTGTCTTACTTAGGATTACTGTACCATCTGATAATACTATAACCCAAAGCAGACTAGGTAGGACAGGTTTATTTCATGTTAGACTTTTCAGTCATACTCTATCACCTAAGGAAGTCAGGGTAGAGACTCAAGTCCAGAGAGGTATAGGGTGTGTGTGTGTGTGTGTGTGTGTGTGTGTGTGTGTGTGTGTGTGAAAGAAAAGGTCTATAACGTGAATCACCACTTTCACATGGGTTGTCCATACTCCCACCTGGCAAGTTTCATTGTAAGGCCAGGGACCTCTTATTTGGGAGAGCATTAATCCCGTGAAATACTTACATAAACCTTTCATAAAGAAATGCCTGAAGAAATCTAATCGCTCTAATCTGATTACTCTAATGGATTTAGCTGGTTCAGTAGTTGGCCTACTATTAATTAACAAATGCCTTTTTATTTTTAACTTGAACTTTAAGCTCTGATAAGACAATATGATTAACTAGAGTGCTTGAGACTTAGCCTGAAGTTGATGACCAGGGAGCACCGACGTTTGTTACTCCCCTGCAGTTCTGTTTTTCGTGAGTGAACGCTACACTCCAGGACTTACTAGCTCTTCCTCTCTCTCCTTGGGGACACGGGGCAGAGCTGAAGTGTGACTGGTGGTCTCTGCTTGGATGTCTCTCTCTCTTTCCCATAAGCCATCTCTCCTGCCCATATCCCGCCATTGCTGCCACAAAGTCCTTTTTCGTCTCATGAGGACGGTTTGCCAAATCCATTTCAAATGTGTAACTAAAACAATTCCTTCTTTTCCAGGATTGTAGAAATCTATAGTAGAAGACTACAAGGTAAACATTTTCAAGTTTTATTTACAGAAAACATTTTCCCCATAGAACAAATACTTTTCCTCGGTTCCAAGTGTAATCAATAAGGAGGACAGAAATGGGGCCTTCTAGGGAGGAAGAGATAGTCTGTTTACCCCGTTAGCAGAAACCCTGTCACGCTTTTATATTTTCTGTGGCCGTGCGTGTGCCAACATTTTCAAATCAGATCGTATACGTGTAAACAGAGGTGGTTCGTATGTGACTGGCCTCACTTCCCTCCCCACTTCCTTTCCCACATGTTGATCAACCCCTCATCCCACCCCCTAACCGTGTCATTCACTCCTGTGGATGCTTCAAATCTAGCCAGTCTCTGCTTTGGTAGACATTTGGGGGCTTTTGTCAGTTTCCTGATGTTGGCACGATTCTGAGAACACCTTTCTGTGCATTCAAAGACAAGTTGTTTTTGTTAACATAAGCAACTGAATTGTTTAGGTTCCAGCATTGGCTCTCAGCAGTCCAGCATTGGCTTCCAGGCTAACTCTGCCACACGGTGATTAGCTCTTCACTCTACCCTAGCCATGGAGATGCTTGTGAGCCAGTATTGGTTGTTCTTGACACACACAGAAGAGATCTTGATGCTCGAGTCCCTCTCCTACAGAGGTTTCCCCAGGCCTGTCATGCTTGGGAGGACACAGACCAGGGACTTCTTCGAGCTGTAGCAGATAGAATAATCTCAGAGAAAGCTGGCATGTCATGGATGTTAAATCCCACAGTTTTGTAAGATCACAAATATTCTAGAGACAAAAAAAAAAATCTTCCAGTTGTTTGTGTCTGGCTTTAAAACCTATCTCTCTGTCACACCCTACAGTTCAAGAACGCCTCACCAAACAAATTGCGGTGGCCATCACGGAAGCCTTGCAGCCTGCCGGCGTTGGGGTAGTGATTGAAGCAACGTAAGTCCAAACGGCCTTTGATGCATCTCAGTAGTATCAATAGCAACCTCTACCTACACTGCCACTCAGCTTCTGCAGGACCAAGCAAGGACCACTTGCAGCTGCTGGTGGTCCCCTTTCATGGGTCTGCAGCTGCTTCTTCCTGCTTCCTCACCGTGGTGCTATCCGAGGAGCCAGGGGATAGAAAAGGGAGTTTTGTTTGTTTTTAATCTTATTTGAATCCTGTGCACGTGTGTGTTGGTAGTATTTGTGGAGGCCAGAGTTGGAGTGACAGGAGTTATGAGCCTCCCAAAATGGGTCCTAGGAACCAAACTTGGGTCATTTGATGTTCTCTGAATCACTGAGCCATCTTTTTAGCCCCTGGTTTTTGTTTTTCCCTCTTGTGAGAACTTTGGAGCTTTTGGGAATCATATGTATCACTGCAGAATTCTATATGTGCAGTCAGTATTTTTATGTTGCCCTTTTCCTTAGCTTTTTTTGGTGAGTGCAGATTTGCAAAACAGAAAGAAAAGTAAGAAATGGTACAAAGGGTAGCGGAGACACTGTTTTTGAAAGAAGAGCAAGGATTTTCTGTTTTTCAATTTAATTGTTACCTGAGGTTTCAGTAAGCACGAAAAAAACCTGCTGATGATTTACAACACGGTGTCTTGATGGCTATAGGACCGCAGTGTTTAAACTGGATTGTTCTCCAGACATTCATCATTCTTCTATAAGTAAAAAAAAAAAATTAAATAATGCGGACAGCGTTGCCATCTCTACTCACCCCTCTACGACCGCGGGCCACGGTTCTCACTGTGCTTAGCTCTAGCTTCAAGCCCATCTACCCAACTCAGTGCATTAAGCCTCTGGGCAGTGCTATTCTGTTCATGGGCTCAACTCTCTCAGATCCCACACCAGAGTGTGAGCTTTCTGTGTCTCGTGTAGTGATCTCCAGACACTCTTGAAGCTGGAGTGAGGTATGAGAATCGCACGCATTGTGCAAGCCGTTCTGCCCATGCTGTGCAGTCCCCAAGCTCTGTGCATGCTGCCTGGCTTCACCATGTTGCTTAGACACACTAACCGTTTTTACCTCCTCTCTGCGGGCAGGATCAGTGTCCATGAGTATCTCTTGGGACACTGTCGTTAGCACAGAGCCATCATGGCCCTGAGGGTGGATCAAGCACGGTTTCTGAATTTCTTTAGATTTAGAACATTCGTGCTTCTTCACCAAGGCTTTATACCTTTCCAGTTGGATATATCAAGGCCTGAATCACAAATAGCTGTATGACAAAAAATGATTCAAGAAAAAGTTTAGTAATTTCCAAAGAAGGGATGTTTTGACATGCTTGATAAGTGTGAGCTGGAATTCGTCTTTGCCCTGCCTTCTGTTGAACTGAAAACAAGACAGCACTGTCCATGCCTTTGAACCAGCTCTGTTGTCTTGTTTTCTAGACACATGTGTATGGTAATGCGAGGGGTGCAGAAAATGAACAGCAAGACTGTCACCAGTACCATGCTGGGCGTGTTTCGGGAAGACCCCAAGACTCGGGAAGAGTTTCTGACGCTCATCAGGAGCTGAACTTCGGTGTGTGCACATGGCCCGGCGCACAGACCCCACTGCTCCCGGCATTGTCTGCCTCGATCATGCATTCCAGTTTCAATTTGTACAGATTGAGTTTTGTTTCTCACCATGAATTGTATTTAATAATTATTTATAGATATGTCAAATAAGAGAAATTAACTAAGGGGTGAGCCTTCTGTTTTCTTTTTGCCACTTTCTTAGTGGCAGTGTTTGGAGTAAATTGCCAAGAGTATAGGTTAACCGCACCAACCACTGCCATGCAGATTCCCCAGGATGCAAAGGAGGAGAACTTATACATTTGGTTGAAATCATAATTGACTCATTAGCAGAGGGCACTGGACATTCCAGGAGCTGTGGCCACTGTGCCGGGGTTTCCACCTCCAGTGGGCGTGGTAGAATGCTGAAGGAAGTGCAGGAGACATTGGGTGTACAGAGAGAGACTGTAGACTGTAGACTCCGCTCTGCTTCCCTCATGCTTGTGAAACTGCCAGTGATGTTTTACTCTTGTGATGGTCACTAGCTGTCTACCTGTAACACCAGCTTCTGAGGGAGGGCGGTGGGGTATCTGACTTTAGCTTTGCTGTGAGTTAAGTGGGCACTTCCTGTATTTTAGACTTGAGTGGAGGGAATTCGTTCCTGGATTGAGTTCATCCCATGGCGGCATGCGTGGATGTTGAGGGTTGACTTTGTGCCTTGATGAGACTATCACACCATTTGGAGTGGAGGGACTTTCACGTTTTAGGAAAAGCCATTACTTCATAAGCTGACAAGTGCCAGCTCTGCAGGTAACTAGCCATCGCAATTTCTCAGGAGGAGTTCTGGGAGTTTGTTTTGTCTGTTCCAAGGAGAGACTTCAAAGCATTTTCACACACTCTTGCGAAGTATTTTTCTAAGTATTTCCAGCCCCCTTTGAAACTGCCTATCCTGTTAGCTCTGCAAACTCCTAGCTCCTCTGAACTGGAAGGAACACAGAAGGGGCTGAGGGAGGCCTGCATGGGGGCTGTGCCCACTGCATGGGCCGAATCATGCTGCTGCTGCTGCTGGTGTCAGTGCAGGTGCACTGGGGGCTTTGGTTGAGGTTCTTCCTTGTGAGTGTGTGTCCTGTTTTAAGTACAAGTCCTTTCAGATGGTGCCGCTGCTCAGGAGGCATGGCTTGTCACCACTTACTTTCAGTGTCCTGCACTGGGGCAGTGTGGGCCAAATGAAAGCACAGCGCCTCGTTCCCCTGCACACACACGGACACACACACACACACACACACACACACACACACGGACAGAGCTAGTCCATGGCGAGGTCTCCCACTGGCTGACAGTGTCTCCCCCTGCTCCTGCCACTGCCACTGAGACACTCATCAGCTTATGGTGAAGCAATGACGGAGCTGGCTTTTAATTTTATTAATTTTTTTATCTCTACCTCTGCCTGGCACTTTTTATAGTTAGTTTCTAAAGTATAGTCAGGTTATTTTGAGTTCCTTTTAAAATCTGACCTGATAGCAATGTTAGCCCACTTACTATTCAGATATTTCTAGGTAGAATGCTAACACTCTTGCTTGGTATTTTAAAGGAAAAACCAGTGTGACTCGGCTTAGAGGACCAAAGAAATTGTTCGCTATACCTTCATCTTTCTGGGGTGATCATTTATATCCCTTCTGAATGGCTCTGTTCGCTCATTCCCTAGAAACTCTTAACAAAAGTGACGTGTCCACAGGCTAGTCTCATCAGTAGTTACAGAGTGACCACCTTGTCTGTTTCACTCTGGTCTGTAGTACTTCAGAGTTACCCTTTCACACCGTGACACTGAGTCCATTTGGGAGATTTTTAAGAATTTGATGTATTTGCATATACTGTTCAATTACATGGTTTGGATTTTCTGTATGTGTATGTATGTCCCTGAAGTTGGTTCTATTTAAATGATTAAAGTGTTATAATTTGTTCCTGTGAACGTTTCTTTTTAAAATCTCTGGTATAAATATAGCATATCAATTGATTTGATTGTTTTGGTTCTATTTGGCTAAAATTCCCATCACGAAGCCTTTGTTCATCAGGTAAAGTGTTAGAGCACACATCTCCACGATAATGCAGTGCTATCTGGGGCTCTGAGCTCCTCTGTGGTGAGTGACCCAAGTGTTACTGGCTCCAGCTGCCGCCAGGACAGGGAGGTCTGGGCTAGCTGCAGCCTCCTGGGGACAGGCGCTGCTTCTGTGTGAGAAGCTGATAAGGAGGGAAGGTGGCTGGGGCAGGAAGTAGAAAGGGATTGCCCTCCTCTTTAGGAGGGCTCTTCCTGGGGACAACCAGAGGCAAGATGCAAGGCGTTTGCTGTTTTTTTTTTTTTTTTTTTTTTTTTCCTGCCCTGTGCCCGAGTCCATGTACCCTCTTATCATGGCCTTCCTGCTCTCTCTGGACAATGGCTCCAGCTCTCACTGGTTGGCTGTGTGTCGAGGTGCCAGGCACTGGAGTGGTTCACTGCTACTTACAACACCCTGCAGAGGCATGTCCGTGTTCCAGAGGCAGTGCATGCCTTAACCCTGTTGTGAGGCAGAGACGGGCATTTCTGTGACTCCAAGGCCAGCCAGGGCTACACAGTGGGGCCCTGTCTCAGAAACAAGACAACAACAAAACCAAAACAAGGCTTTCTGCCAACCTGTCATGACGGGCATGGGTCTTTCACAGAGCAAAGAGGAAGCCCTAGGCTAGGAGATGAGTTCAAGGGGAAGAGAATCCATAACTACCTTACTTTCCCCAAAGAAACCGGGCCTGTTTTGTTTTTTGTTACTGTGTGAAATAAAGCGTGTACAGCAGCAGAGACACTAGCGTGTGAACCCCCACACACCTCTTACAGCTTCTGACAGCTTGTCTACAACCTTTACACCTCCATCCTGACTTAACTGTTGCAAAACAATTCTCAGGTAGCCTTTCTCCTCCTCATCCTCATCCTTGTCTTCTTCCTTCCTTCTTTTCTTCCTTCCTTCCTTCCTTCCTTCCTTCCTTCCTTCCCTCCTTCCTTCCTTCCCTCCTCCTCCCTTTTTCTTTCTTCTTCCTCCTCTTCCTCCTTCCTTCCTTCCTTCTTCTTCCTCCTCCTCCTCCTTCATCTTCCCCCTCTTCCTTTTTTCTCTGTTTCTGCCCTTTTGAAACAGGCTTCAGTTTTAAAATATCTGCCACATGACTTCTTTAGCTTCAACTTAAAGGGCTGCTTGGCTGCCCAGGTTTTGGTTAAGGTGGAAGGTTGTGCCAGGACTGGAAACAATGAACCCCACAAGTCTGTGCATCTCTTCCGGGGCCTATCTCTGGGAACTCCAAGAATGAACTCGGGTGGTAGGAGTGCCTGGAATTCCCCACCCTTGCCTTCACTCCCATTTTGGTGATCCTCTGAGCAGGAAAATCTGGCTTTGGCTTGGGATGGAGGGGGGGATGGTGACACTTCAGGTCTTGTACCTCTGTCTCTCTTCCTTCCTCCCTCCCTCTTCCCCTCCTCCCTGCAGGACTGTGGATTGAGCCCAGATTCTCCTATATGCTGGGCAAGCACTGTAGCACTGATCCCAGCCCCAGCCCTGCAAGCAGCCTCTTCCATTCTCTCCATCACAGGGTCGCAACTCCCTTGAGAGACCTCTAGTGCATGGGATCGTCCTAACGGTCTGCTTTTTTCTGTATTCCACTCCTTGTTCTGAGCAACATGCACGCAACTCTGATCTTTTGGGAGCTCCCTTAGCTTCTGGAACTGACTCTGCTGGCCAGGGAAACAGGGTTCGATGGTTGGTAAGTTGAGGGGATTCTGTGGCATGATGCCTGGGCTTGGTGAAACTTCCAGGGGCCATTGGTTATTTTTTCTGACTTTAGGAGGTGGAATTCTTCCTCTCCTGCCCTAGATAGACAAACAAGACATGTTTCTGATTTATCTTTTTGTGTTTTTTTCTACTACATACATTGTGATGATAGTTTTTTTTTAAAATAGGCTTTTCTGTCTTGACTATAAATTTCTTTATGTAAGTTTTTTTGTAGCATGAATTCTAATTGATCTAAATAATAAAAACTTGAAATCAGATATTAGGGGGTGGAAGCTGAAAGATCAGAGAAGCCAGCCACTAGAGTTCTTACCTCTACCAAGGCTCAAACCACAGGGGCAATCCTGTCCTCAGACTGCATCCTCAGACTGGCTGCTTCAGTCTGCTGGCTCAGACTGCAATGAGCTCCTGACTTCCGCCTTATATTCCCCTCTCCATCCAGCCATATAGCCTGTCTCCACTTCCCTAGTGCAGGGATCGCCTTTGTGTGAACTCTGTTTTTCTTTTAGACAGATTCAATCTCATGTAGCCCAGGGTGGCCCTAAATTAACAGAGATCCATCTACCTCTGCCTCCCACGTGCTGGGATTAAAGGTGTGCGCCACCACTGCCTGGCTTCTGTGGCTAACTAGTGGCTTAGCTCTGCACTCTGATCTTTAGACAAGCTTTATTTGTTAGCTCGCAAACAAAATATCACCGCCTTTTGTTTGTTTTTCTTGAAGGGATTTTTTTACTTGTAGAACAGGGGTACACTGAATAGTACCAAGGAAAGCTGGGACTGAGGAGAAACTTTTGTGGCTAAGGTGCTTGCTGCGTAAGCACGAGGACCTAAATTTAGGTCCCATCACCCATGTAAATGTCAGGCACAATAGCACACCTATGTAACCCCAGTTTTGGAAGGTGGATCCTCCCCACTCCCCAGAGCTTGCTGACTGGCCAGTCCTGCTGAGCCCCAGGTCTCAAAAATCAAGGTGAAATGTGATTGAGGAAGAGACCTGATATTGACCTCTGACCTTGGCACACAAGCAAGTATGTGAACCTGTGCACTTGTCTACACCACACACACACACACACACACACACACACACACACACACCAACTTAAAACAATTCTGAGTAGTGAGGACTCGAGTTATACTGTGGCAATCATTCAGGAAATTCCCTTAACCAGCTAAGGGTGGCTAATCTCATATGAAATTTTCTCATTAGTTTCAGCTCTGGGTTTCTGAATGTTGATGTGCCTCTAAGCATGGAGCATGGGCACATGAAGTCCTCATCTGAGTACCTCTAGTCCGGCTGTCCTGAGGGAGAAGAGGGATGGACCTCTGTGGCAGGGTTGGCAGTCCTAGCAGCATCTCCATATTAGTTCAATATGGGAAAATAATCACAGGCTGGGTGTGATGTGTATATTTGACAAGAGAACTCTGGAAGCAGGGAGATTGCACATTCAGGGCCAGCCTGGGCTGTTTAGTGCCATTCCCTATTTCAAAACGTAAAAAGAAAAAAAAAAAGAGTCGTGTGCATCACCTTGTAGTTTCATCTAGTCTGAATCAAATGCTCAAACTGTCTTAAGATTACTTCTAATAGGTGTTCCTGTGCCTAGCACGAAGTTCAGATGAACCGGAGCATCCCTTGGGGGAACGCGTGGCTCGAGAGTGGGGTGTGGCTTCTGTAGAAGTCACACTGGGAATTCTTCATGACTGTTTTTACAGGGTGGATGCTAACCATGAGAAATGGAAAAGCAAAAATATCTGCATAAAAAAATGTGTCCTTTGGAGAACTTTTAACAGCCTGTCATGAGAAAAAGAGGGTTCGGGAGTCGAGTGCCAAGGCAGAGCCTCTTGAAATCTGGTTTTCTTCTGCCTTCGCTTTACGTTATCTTAGAACATGCTTGCACAAAACTCTGAAAGATCAAAGATCAAGAAAAAGGTCTCCCCTCTCTTCTGCCTCCCAGCTCCCTTCCCCACCGCCCCCATTTTCTTATGTATTCTTCCAAAAGGATCTCATGCACATTCACACACGTTTATTTATATCAGGATTCCAGGCTACATGTGCCTCCCTCCCCCAGACCACCTAGGAAGCTTTTGTCAGTACATACGCCTGCACCCTATGGAGAACGACTCAGTATCCTATAATTGTGTTTTGGGGAGGAAAATAAAAAACCCTTTGTTATCCCAGTGAACTCTTTCTGTTGAGAACAACTAGTTAAAAATACAATTCCTGAGAACCAGACCACCAGGAAACTGATACACTGTTTCCTGGGCAGTGTGGGCAGGGAGCAGCACATGGATTATTGTGGGAGAATGGGCTCTAGATCCATTTAGGGCAGTTAAGAGCATCTGCAGTCACCCAGCTGATAAGGCTAACAGTAAATTGCCCCTTAAGAGAGACTGTCTCCAGATTAATACAATCAGTGCTAAATTACCTTTGTATGAGTAACTTATTTCTCTGGTCTGGTTTTTATGAATGTACCCTACTTCCACCTCCTGATTCATCATGGAAAACTGAGAAAATAGAGTAAGGTGAAAAGAAAAATACTGGTTATTGAATTGTATCACTCAGAAGTCACTGCTTTTCAATATTTGTTTTCTTCAATTTTATTAATTGTATAAATAATATATATTTTTAAAATGGTGTGGGATAATGCTCTTGTACACTGTAAGGATTTGTCACTTTTATTGGTTTAATAAAATGCTAATTGACCACTAACCAGGCAGGAAGTATAGGCAGGGCAACAAGACTAGGAGAATTCTGGGCAGAGGAAAGGCAGAGACACAGTCACCAGCCAGAAGCAGAAAAAGCAGGATGAAAATGCTACACTGAGAAAAGGTACCAAGCCATGTGGCTAAACATAGATAAGAATTATGGGCTAATTTAAGTTGTAAGAGCTAGTTAGTAATAAGTCTGAGCAATAGGCCAAACAGTTTATAATTAATATAAGCCTCTGTGTGTTTCTTTGGGACTGAAAAGCTGCGGGACTAGGTTGGACAGAAACTTCTTTTTACAAATAAAAATAAAAAAAATAAAAATGGTGATTTAAAGCAATTTCATCCAGACATTTCACCTGTATTTACCTCAGAATGTATTACTGATGGATAAGGAATAAAGAGTTAAACAAAACCTTGTTGGGGGCTGCAGACCCCTGGCCCCTTGAC